ATCCTCCTTCCTAGACCTCCTGAATAGCTGGGTTGCAAGCATACACCACCACACCCAGCTCAGAGACAAGTTTTATGTGGGACTCAATTTCAACTAGAGAACATGAGATGTTCACTCTTGGCAATGTAGGATTCTAAGTGGACTTATATATCTTTAAATATTTCATGAGCTAAGTTTATAATCATGTTATAAAAAGTATGAATGATAATTTAGGCATATCAAATAATATCATGTTTTTCTTAATTTACAGTCTCGTGATAAATTATTTATTCATTACATGTTAATTCTATACCACTATGTATTCAAGTACACAAGACCAGTAAGCATAAGATCAATGTGTGATGACATTATAAACATTTTAATAGAATTTACTCATAATAATCACCACTCTAAAACCAATTCATTACTTTTACCATTAATTAAATTTGACTTGAAAAATATATGATGTTTGATGTTACTTAGAAGAATAGCTATTTACTTGTTTTTGTGATGTCAGATTCTCTGATACTCAGTCTTTGTGATATTTTGGGTATGATTTTTTTAAAGTACACACTTAACACTGTATAAAGTAATGAGTTTATTCTTAAGTTAACAACATTGTCAGTAAAACAGAAAAAGTTCATTGCATTAATTAGCATCTTATTGAAATATAATTTTAATTTTATGTTGTTGCATTTATTTACTTTACCATTTTTATTCAATTTAAATGTGTTCATAAATTGCTCAATAAATAAAACTAATAGCTTACAAATAAATTTTAAAGTTAACATATTAATTTGATTTTTTTTTTCCTTTTGCAGTACTTAGTATCAAACCCAGGGCTTTGTGCATACTAGGCAAGTACTCTACTACTGACATACATCCCCAGTGCAGCATATTACTTTTCTTAAAAAGCCTATCATATTCATGTACAGAAAATATCAATCAAAAATTGTGAGATCATTAGGGGAAAATCTAGAGCTTTTTATATTTTATCAACATGTATACTCATTAGCTTATTTTAAAAACTTCTCATGTATTGATAAAATTTTGTAAGTTTATATGGCAAAGTTCAGAATGTAAAATTACATTATCAATTAGAATATACACAATCTTGGGCTGGGGTTGTGGCTCAGTGGTAGAGCCCTTGCAGTTCGATCCTCAGCACCACATGAAAATAAATAAATAAAATAAAGGAATTGTGTCCAACTAAAAAATAAATATTTTTAAAAAAGAATATACACAGTCTTCAGGAACTAGCCAACACACCTACTCTGTGCCAGGAATTATATCAAGAACTAGGAACATAAGGACTTGGAGAGACAAGGTCCCTACTGCTCTGAATATGTTTATATTCCTAAAGGGAAAGATAGTTAATAAGCAGTAATAATAATCAGAAAATAAGAGGTATCAGTGAATTAAGTCTAAGAGAGTGGCTGGGGTTTGCAATTTTCTTGTGGAGATGATATCTAATTTGAATTCTGGATGATCAGAAGAAGCCAATACAAAAAAAGAAAATCAAGTCACTCAAATTCAATTCACTGATAGCCAATTTTAAGAGACTTAATTTGCATATTGAAAGGAAAGAGGAAAAATGAAAACATTAGTGGAATTGTGTGTTCTCAGAACACACACACAAACACATAACATGCTTTTTGAATTTTATTGTTATTGCTACAAAATTGTTTGTCAAATACATATAAATTAAGTCATAAATATATGATCTCTCTTGGATCCTGAGTGTTAGTGAAATGGAGGGTAGCTTTTATATTACAGTATCTTTACTTTTTTAACATGTTTTATTGGGCTTTAATGAAGCCACGTTAAATAGGTCTTTAGGGAAGGAGAGAGAAACATGTGGAATATGTAACGTTTTTTTAAAAGCATAGTAATATTAATATGTTAAATTCAGAAAACAGGAGAAACTGCAGTTTTTACAATGCAAACTATAGGAACAAAGACTGACTAATTTTGGACAATGGGTCTCTGTAGAACATAAAATTCCAATGTCTTGGAAGCAAGTAGAACATACTTTCATATTTAACCAAAGAAATCATACATGGGTTTCAAAAGTTTAAGACACATGGCCTGAAGTGCTTTCCTAAAAGTATCATCCTAATACTTAAAAGAATGAATCGAGAGCCCTAAAATTACACAATTCTATTTTAGCAAATAATTCTGAGTGAATTATCAAGGTGGACATAGATTTACATGCCAGAATATTTCTCTTGGATTTATTTGTAATTATGAAAGTTTGGGAGAAATGCTGTCTCCACAAAAGGAACATAAATAAACAAAATTTTAAATAGCCAAAATTTTCCATCCAGTATTTAATGTTCATGTTTTAGAAAAATATTTAATGCCATATAGTAAAATGCTTAAGAAGAAAAAAATACAAAATGGGATGATTCAATATTTAAAAGAAAAAAATCCCACTTATATAGAAAATATTTAGAATCAGTATAACTGCTTTGGAGAACAATTTGGCAGTGACTATAAAGTTGAAAATGTACAAGCTCTACAAGCCAACATTAATGTGCTTGACATATGATAGATTAAAAGTTGTAAAATCTTAAGATAGAATATTACTCAAATGTTAAAATTAATGCATTTGAACTGTATATCTACAACAAAGATAAGTCTATATATTTCAGCAGAGACATTTTTCAAAACAATGTTAAATTTTAAAAAGAAGGTTGCAGGATGGTATAATATGGTAGTGTTTATATTATATAAAGTTTTAAAACACATATAACAATACAAATATTGTTTACAATACACATGTAGGAAATAAGCACATAAAATTATAACCAGAAATGATACAGGCCAGAATCATGATGGTAGTAGCCTTTGGGGCGGAAGGGAGAGGAATGGGTCTGAAAAGAAAATCAACTGGGACCTGATGATGGTATTATACTTCATCTGAAATATTTTCTATGTCCTTTATTTGAAAAAAAAATTGACAAATGCTTATATTGCAAATTTTAGTGGTGATGATACATCCTTGTTTATTTTATGAAACTCATTTTTGTGTGTGCTTTAAAACTTTAAAAAACAAATGATTGAAAGAAAATATGTCAATGTTTGCAGTGATTATTAATCTTCAGGGAGATGACTTCAATTTTTATTTTCATATTCAGGCTTCCATATTGATGCTGAACATTACACTATGTTTAGGATAAAGTGGTACCTTACTGCTTGAGTCCATTCAGGCTACTATAACAATATTCCAAAAACGAGCTAGATTAGAAACAACAGCAATTTATTTCTCACAATTCTGGAAGCTGTAAAGTCCGAAATCAATGAATCAGCAGATTCAGTGTCTAGTTAGCTCACTTTGGGGTTTATAGATGATACTCATAGCAGCTAGCAGAGTGCCTACTACACAGTAACTGCTCTGTAATGTTGAAGGAAATGTGAATAAACACATAGATGAACAGCAAAAGTCACAGTCAAAGGTACAGTGAGTGGAAGACAGAACATTAAGTGGGTCATTTCCATGAGAAGCAGAGCACAGTGGAATGGGCCCAGTGATGCAAATTACCACCTTGGGACGGTTATTATTTGGTACTTTTCTTTATATCCTGACTTTTCCCTCAATAAATTTTTGCTACTTTTCTCATTTCCTGCCAGTGCTGGCCACACCCATAAGCACAGTCTCTGATTTACAGCTAAATGAGTCTTTACTTTATTGCATATCCTTAAACTGTCTCAGAGCCAAGACTACACATAAATACAAATAAGGCATATACCTGATGGGCTTTTCTATAAGATAATCTCTTGCTTTCCTAGTGAGGAGATCCAAAAAAAGTGTTTCTGACCAACTTAGGTGTATAGAGTTTTAGGAATGCAGATTAAATAGTCATGTTCATTCACATTTTTTAATTTGTTAGTTTATACATGCATATTTAAAACATTATCTAGAAAGTGCATTAATTTTTTTCATTTAAACTTTATGAAATCAGTTTAAAGCTTCCATATGAATCTCAAGTCATTTAACATAGATTTCCAGAGCAGAGCATCTTCACTTCTATTTCAGTTCTTTAAGGTACAACATTTTTGATTTTTGTGGATGAAGCTATCACTGAAAACTTTTTATCACAAATCACAAGTCCCAACATATAACACTAGGATAATTTTTTACTCATCTTTTAATGTAGTTTTATGAGGCCAACAATACGACTAAATGCTAAATACTAAATTGATCATTAAAAGGCTTGTTTACAACAATAAATGGTGCTACCAACTGTGACATCATATTTTCCACAATATTAAGTACTAAATCTTTTCAAAATGTACTTGTCTTTTTTATGCAATAGCCTCATCAAGATGAATTCTATAAGCATTCTACAGTTGCAGTGGTCACTACAGTTTCAAGTTAATGTGTTTTCTCCAAAAACAAAAAAAAAAAAACCCTGTGACTTAATAAAGCAATTAAGAAAGTACACCATTATGTGAGGGATTTTGTAAAATCTTGACTATAAAGCAGCTCCCAATCTGAACAGTCTATAATACTGGGGGAAAATCTTCTATTCGAAAATGTACTATAAATTTATTTTCTTTTTAACTTTTTTAAAAAGAGAAACCTTATCTTCTTTACGCTAATGATTAGGAAAGAAAGCTGAAGCATAGCTGCATATAATATTAAGGAGTAATCAAAATGTGAGTGGATTAACATCATTTTTTGGTTTACAGGACATTAGAGGTTTGAATATATTTTGATTTCAAGTTAGAAGCAGGCTCTGTGTGCATGTATCTGTGTATGTACTTGTAATGCCGTAATTATGGGTCTATGTCTAGGAATTAGAAAGTTGCAAATGGTGAAGAACAAGTAAATTGGTTTAACTAGAGTAAGTGGATCAATTTAAAAGAAGAAAACAAGTTCACTTCGATGTGTTTTTGTGATGGCAGAGGACATCAAAGTGATAGGGAACAGCTAATAGTTTATTCTATTTGAAAATTGTGCAGCTTCTCAATTTTCAACATTAAATATACAGTTTACATATTTGCATATGTTTCAGGCTACATTATTGGAATTTTGAAGTCATGAAAGCATCAGATGAATCAGCCTGCAACACCTTGGATTCAGATTGGAAGATAAAGTTTAGAAAATGTGGCCTTTAAGGACTGGTAGTACCTGAAAATATTAATCGACTCACATTGTAAAAATGACACCAATTTCTAAACAGTAGAAATTATTTTAGTTCAACATCAAGGTTCAAGACAAAATGTACAACTAAAAACTTTACACTCCTCCCTCCCCCACTTCAGACAGGTGCCAGCATTGGTGAATTATGATTTTCCTTAGTTGTAAGCACTCATTTTTACCCATGTAAACCATCCCTAGGAATTAAGTATTGGTTATTTAATGTAGAGTATAATGGGAAACTGATTAATTTTACAATGGCAGAGTTCAAGGACTTGGTTCCAAACTGAGCCGAAGCTTCCCAATGCTTTTTGTACAGTCTGAGAAAAACTGTGCTGCATTGGCCCATTTTTGAAGGCCATCATGCTCTGTAATATGAAGATATCATCTTAATGCTGATATCTTTGGAGAGTCCCAAGCAGACACAGAAAATGAATGGAGGCAAGGAGTGTGACGGAGGGGACAAGGAAGGAGGTCTTCCAGCTATACAAGTTCCTGTGGGTTGGCAGCGTCGTGTGGATCAAAATGGAGTTCTTTATGTCAGGTGAGCCCTTATTTATTACCTATGTCACCTCCAGAGTCATAGTTCCAAAATTAAGGAGGCAGAGTCTGTTCTTCTTTGAGGGAACAAAATATTGTGACTGACAGCACCTCAGATAAGTTTCAATAACTGACCTCTGTGCTAGAAATGCACAAAGTATTTTTATTCTATACTGTTTTGTAGTGTAAATTGACATAGATTATCAGAGAGAATTTTTATGCATTAATTGTGTTTACATGAGGTGTCATTCTGCTTCTCTGTAATAAGGATAAAAAAATATGAAGATTTCTAAAAAACTTAAAGCATCATTACTACATTCATAGAAGAATGCAAAATACTGGAAATAGACCCAATACCATTTGGCAATATTACTCTGTTCTTAAAAGTACTTCAACTGACTTTTCTGATACTAAAGTTCTGTTTTTAATCTATTAGCAGTCTTACTTATTAGACTTCTTAATGCTTGATATTAACCAAAAATAATTTGCTTATTTTTTTCTGCACAGTTTTTAATCTATTTCCTTGCATGTAATAATAAAAATAAAGTCATGATGGAGATAGCTCTTCATATTACAAGTAAAAATCATACAACTAAATGCAAATGCCTCCTCTTTAAAATTTTGATGTTATATCTCTTTTAGAACAAGTTGAATGGAATAACTGAACTGTTGGCAAGAAGTTTTAAGTCTTATTTAATAAATAATTGGCATCTAAGATCCTTATTTATAATTTTCCAATAAATATATAGAAGTTTAGGTTACCATAAGTCTTTCTTCATGATATAATAAAAAAATTAGAAGTAGACTTCAGATTTTATTAATTCCACATTAAGCAGCATCATTAAATTGATGCTATTACTTTCAGTGTGGCTCTTTGCATCCCAGCTTCAATAGAATTTTCAGTTCCCTATATTTGTATGAATGAGGTATTTTCTGTGGTACAAACAATTTCATGCTTTAACAACTCAAAAGTCAGTTCAGATGTGGGTTTATTGTTTGTTTGGTTGGTTGATTTGTATGCTTGTAAAGTGCTTCTTGAGGAAAACTTAATTACCCACTGAAATTCTTTTGTCACAAAAAATTCTTATATCAGTAATATTAATGATGTGCTCTATATTCGAGTAGGTGAAGGAATAAAAACTCAGGGAATGTAGATCTCATCCCATAATAGAAAATATGAAGAAAGACACAAGGAATAACTTTTTCCAAGTGTTTATATTACCAACGTGGCTCATGAAGTGCCAGAAATACTTTTTTATAAATATAACAAATTATCAGTGATATATGTTTATATTTATGGTTATTCTAGTTTGTAAAGAGATGATGTATCTTCAACTTGAAGCAAATGACTTAAAAATCTTGATGATTTTTTTTACTCCATCTTATGAAAGATAAATCAATTTTTCATATTGCTATGAGCAAACCATGTCAAGTCTGGGAATCAAAAACTAAGAAGTCTAAAAGTTTAAAAAAAAAAAAGAAGTCTAAAAGTTGATCAGTCACTTTCAGTTAATATCAGTTCATAATTTTCCAAGACTGACTTCTTCACTTTTCTGATAATCATGTTAGTATGAGTTCTCCAAATTTAAGTCTGTACACTTGAGAATTATTTTAAAAACTAAACTTTTGCAGGTAAGGTTAAATGCTTTCAAAATAAATCAAGCCACCTGGGTTTGATTTGTTTGTATATAACCAATTAAAATACTACTTGAATATATGCATGAGGCTAGCCTACCTTCATTAGCTACTTTTCAATGTATAGTTTACCTCTCATTTTTAGGTTAATCTTCAATTTCTCCTGCCTCCTGGTAGCATTTTGAGGTGACACATTAAATTTTCCAATTTTCTAAACTGTATCCATGCTGTAAAACTTGTAATTATTTTTTACATTAATTATTGCCCCAAAAGTTAATTATAAGAACTACAACTAAAGGAAAGAATCCAACTGACTAAGAGGAAGAGTTTCAAGAGGTCTAGAATACTGTAAAGGAATTTAGGAATTCTTGCCTTTGATTTTAATTTCACAATGAAATTCCTTTAGGATTCAGTGCACACACTTTCTCTTAAGCAAAATGTTGGCAATTTCTCTTCCCCGAATTCATCAATTCTTATTGTGAAAAATCAATAAGGTTAGTTATTGGTGACTTTGTTTTATTGAAATTATTATACCTCCAAAGCCTCTTGTCACCTCTCCTTGCATATCATCTAAAAGCAGCCTAAACAAATATGACAGTTTTCATTTAAATTGTTCTTTGTGCCCAAGTCATTTGGACAATTGTCCTTAAACAAAATATGAATTGCATTTGAAAGCTAGTTCATTTATGACTGCACAACTGCTTCTTGTGTTTTTTAGAGGCAGAAAGTCTATGGCCAGTAGTGCAATACTTTGTGTATGAATTGGAGAGTATTGTTTCTGGATGAATTGGATCTAAAGGCTTAAGTGAGGGTTTTACCTAATAGTCATAAATAAAAGAATTTCAAATGAAAAGTTCATAGGAATTTCAAAGCATAATACTGATTAAGTTGTAAAATCAATACATTCATAAAGCCCTAAATTACCCATTTTAAACTACTCCTCATTGTAAATTAAAAAATCAAAAACTTATCCTATCATCTAAATTAGTATTTAATCTGTTTTACTAATTTTTGTGACCAGACGAGCAGTAAGATGAAAAAACCTACCCACTTACCAGCCCAAAAAATGCAAGGCACCTTTTGTCCACGTAACATCCTATTTCCTCAAAAACTTCCCATCTTTTGTCAGCTCTGTTAGATTCCTCTCTGCACAATGTTTCTTCAGTACAATTTGAAGTAGGCCACAATGATCTATCTTCAAAGAAACACACTGGTAAAGGAGAGAAAGAAATGTTTTTACATAGGGTCAACTTGGTTTTAGACTCCAGGGAAGAATATATTAGCTCTGACTTTTGTAGACTTGCCAACTTTCTGGTTTGAACTTTAATATGTTCCTAAGTTTCAGTTTTTCCTCAACAAGCTTTGAAAGTAAATGTCGTAGTTTAAAATGATAGTGATTACTTTTATGTAGTTTTTTCCCCCTGTTCCTTTCTTGCCTGTTTCTGTCCTTTCTTAAGAGTAGTATTTTTCCTATCTTTAGTCCACTCTTGGTTTTCAAAATACTTTTGTTTAATTTTCTGTGAAGATCTGTATTTTTCTGAAAAATATTTTGGTACAAAAGAAACAGTGATAGTGTTAAAGGCTATAATTTAGTAGCTAGCATAATATTGACAAAGAAAATGCTTGCCCTAGCAGGAAAATATTATCCTGTGAAGGACAGTAAGACTATAAATTATGCCTTTTTTCATATAATATGTGCAGTCAAAATTATTTCCTGATGTATTTTTAAACTATTTTTACAGTCCCAGTGGGTCTTTGTTATCTTGCTTGGAGCAGGTTAAAACATACCTGCTTACTGATGGAACATGCAAGTGTGGCTTGGAATGTCCTCTTATTCTTCCCAAGGTAACCATTTCACAATAGAGCTACAGCAGTTTTTTATTTTTAGGTATTTTATATATTTGCTTTTCTCATTTGGCATTTCATTTTTATATTAGTTCTCCAATCATGTATTTGTTTTAACTTTTTATCTAATTAGACATCTTTTACATGCATTTTGGAATGATTAAAGATTGTGGGAAATTTATTCAGGTCATTTTTAAAGGTGACAAACTATATTCATATTAAATATTTCCTTAAAACCACAATTACACCTTTTTATTAGAGCTGTACCTATGCTCAATATTTAGTAATGCAGTATTTTCTTTAACTTACTCTAACTGCAGTATTACTTTTAGCATGGTTATTGATAAGTCTGTCATAGATGTTTCTAAAATTGTAAAGCCAAACCCTCATAACCAAAATATGAAAATGTTTTACTCCTTTACAAGGTAAAAAGTAAAATTATTTAAAATAGTAAAATGTTATTTGCTATAGAAATAGATCATTCTCTGAATGTTTTATAGTATTAATTTTCAAACTAAAAATTAATAAACAACTTTTTTCTTTTTACTATGTTACTGCATCATAAAAAAATTTCTAATAAGTAAATTTTTAATAGAGCAGTAGATTTTCTAAGTCAGTGAAAAGGTAATATAAATACAGTAATAAAAGGAAGCCAAAGGAAAGTTAGCATGTAGAAATATCATAGTTTTTTGTTTTGTTTTTGTATCTAGATTTTATCTGTTTTTGTACTGGTATAATAATATCAAGTACTATGTAAAATTGGAAATATTATTAGATATTAAACTTTTCCATATATTTATCTTGGCTATCTTAGAATTACTGTAATTTTCATTATTTATTTTGCTACTAAAAACCGTAAGTTCAGCAGAAGTATTTATTAAGTTATATAACATTGTTTTCCTTAAGTTTAAAAACTTAAGAAAGTTTTATTCAGATTTATGACTTAATCTCAGTACAACTTTTTTCTTTTTAAACAAGAGGATCTTTTTATTAAATGTTTTTGCAGACGTATTCTAAACAAAGACTGTGCTTTTTCCAGGTATTTAATTTTGATCCTGGAGCTGCTGTGAAACAGAGAACTGCAGAAGATGTTAAGGCAGATGAAGATGTCACAAAGCTATGCATACATAAAAGAAAAATCATTGCAGTGGCCACACTTCATAAAAGCATGGAAGCCCCACATCCTTCTCTGGTGCTCACCAGTCCCGGAGGAGGAACAAGTATGTAATATGGCTAAGGGGTTAGGAATTCTCCTCCCTCACTCCATTGCAAGAGAAGGAGATGCTGGAAATCACTTTGCCAAAGCATTTTCCCTTTTCACTTTTCAAACATGCACAGTGTTTTTAAGGTTTTATATGATCTATCATTTTAGTGCAAATAGCAAATTAATTCTGAAAAATTACCATGAGGTTATTTCCCAGAATTCCTTGTGCAGATCATCTGGTTACATAATCAGAATAAACACTAATTAGCACATCCTAATGCTATGCAGATGTGCAGAGCTGAGCTCACAGAAAAGAAAGTGCCATTGGTTTTTAGGAAACAAATGTAGCCATTTTCATAGGGCTGTACTGGAAGATGTGATGTAAAATCCCTAACAATTTAGCAGTTTTGTTAAAAACAAGCTGTTTCTTTTCTTTTTTCTTTTTTTTTTTTAGTCATTTGATAACTATTTGTTGAACACCTACTAAACAAAAATCATCTTGCGAAGAACTTTTTATGAGCCCCCACTCAACTCACTCTCAATCTCTCTCTCTAAATCTCTCTCTCTCTCTCTCTAAATCTCTCTCTCTCTCTCTCTAAATCTCTCTCTCTCTCTCTCTCTCTCTCGCTCTCTCTCTCTCTGTCTCACTCACTCACACACACACACACACACAAAATTTTTTTATGTCTTTATTTTATTTATTTATTTTTATGTGGTGCTGAGGATTGAACCCAGGTCCTGACATGTAATAGGTGAGTGCTCTACCACTGAGCCACAACCCCAGCCCACACACAATTTTTTTCAAAAATTAAAAGCTGCAGAAAAAGTGCAAGGATGGTTCATTAAGTAGCCATCTACCATTTGCTTAGAAAACCACTTATATTTTGTTATAGAAAGTTGCAGGTATTGTCACAATTTACCCCTCAAGGACATTTCCCTACATAACAACAATCTAATGATCACATTTGGGAAATTTAACAGTAATATAAAAATGTTGTCTAACATGAGGTTTGTATTTTAATTTCTCCAGTTTTCCTAACAATATCTCTTTTCACTGTTTAAAAAATTGACTTTAAAACCAGAATGCAATCAAAGATGGTGCATTGCAGTTAGTGTTACATTTCTTTAATCTATATCGAGTCCCCAGTGTTTTCAGTCCTTCATGGGACTGAAATTTTTGAAGAGTTCAGGTCAACCAGATTTGCAGGCTGTTCCTCAATTTGGATTTGCCTGATGGTTTCTTCATACTCAGGTAATACACATTTGATAGGAATTCTGCATGGATGAAGTTATATCCTCATCAGGATAAATACCTTCACCCATATCTATGACACTGTTTGATTGTTTGGTTAAATTTGTGTCCATCCAATTTTTCCATTGTAAAGTACCCTTTTTCCCTTTGTGATTAGTATGTGCTTTGTGCCATTATACTCTGAGACAGAGGAACCTCTTTTTGTAAAGGCAAGAGTATGAATTCCCTCTAAAATATTATAATCTGCTTAAGACTTGATTAGTGGTTCAGAATAAAATATGGCAAGCACCAAAGCATGAGTTGATGAGAGGTAATTGATAGTGTTCTGCAAAGTTCTGAAAAATAGGGACAATGAATGTGACCTGTAGAGCTCAGAGAAGGATTCATGGCAGAACCCTGATTTAGACCAGCTTTGGGAAAATAATAGGATATGAAGGGAATAAGAAAATTATTCTTCAGAATGAGTGTGACATAATTAAGGTATAACGTGAAAACTAACCTAACTTGAATGGAAGATAAAAGAAGTATAATAAATTGCAGCCAAACTATCGAGAGCCTGGAATGTTAAAAAAAACAATTGCTACATCATACAGGTAATTAAAATCTCTGACTTAGAACTCAGGTGAAGAGACAGATTTTGCAGCTATAAGCATAAAGCCTCTTTCCAACAACCCTCTAACCTTTAAATATAAACGGGACTAATTTTTACAAATTGATCCACTTCTATATACTAAGATATATAAGGAAAAAAAACTTTTAGGAAATGTTATTCTTTTAATAAGGTACAAATTTTAAATTAAAAGAGTTGCAACAATTTAAACATAAGTTTAATAATAACAAATTATTTAAAATTTGCCATTAACCTGCCACCTTGGTGTTTTAATTTTTGCATATTATCCTGAATGTATTTTTGAACATACTTTTGTCTGCTGTTGATCTCACATCACATTATGTCATACAGTTTTACGTTTTTCTACAGTCTGCCTTATTGCCTTTCTTAAGACCCAGAAGAATCTTAATTTAAGTCCTTTGTCATACCTATAAATAAAAATTTAATTATTGAAATTAAGGATAAATATTGAATTAGCATACGCAATAATTGGTATGTTTCTATCCCTTCTAAGTGGTACACTTCATTGGATTAATTGTTACTCTTACTCTCTTCAGCAGTAGCATTTTTTTCATAACTTTAAATTATTTCATGAAGTTGAGGTTTAATAATTAAAAATCAAAAGTCTCACATAGTAGCTTTTATCTTCTTTTAAATAAATATATAAACATTTACATTGTTACTGTTTATTCTTTAAAAGGTCTACCTGAATGTTAGTGGGTGCCTGATATTTACACTTGCCAACTCTTGTATACCTTACTTCCTAAATGTCATATAGCCTCAGCCTGACTTTTGCTAGTTTGTTTAGTATTTCTGTTACTTTAAAGAGGATAACTATTTTGCCTTAAATATGGACAAAATTCCTTCTAAAACACAGTGATTGTCTAAATTCTGTTCATTGAATATAAAAATGCCAATATTCATATTATTTTTAATCACTGAACTATAGATAATTATATGAATACATTTTTATCTGAGAAAAGATGCAAGCAAGTGATTATGATTAAAGAGAACACAGCCAGTCCCATTATAATTCTAGTAATATGATTACATGTAACTGTTGTTACTATATTGCAAACATAGTACTCTACATATTTTTAATGTTATTTCTTTAATTACAAACTTTAAAAATAGGCTTCAAATGACTTTATCTGCTGCCATTCTGTTATGTTATTGGTTCTCAACATTTTCTATATTATATGCCAAAATTACCTTATTAAATAACCTCTACCATGCTAGAATTAGAAAGTCTGCATTTTCCAAGAAAATATCTGTTCACTGCTTTCTACTTGAATGTACTCTACCTTGACTTCTGTATGTCCCAGGTTGTGACTGACTACTGTAAAAATCTTTATTATATGATTTCATCTGTATACTATCTAGCAAGTAGAAGTATTTATCTTAAATGTGCATTTCACCTTTTAGATAAGTATACCTCTGATTGCAAATGAATCTAAGTATATTTGCTAATATGTGTTGGGTCTATAAATAGTTATGGCAAATATATAGTAAGAAGGGTATGACTTTCATCTCCTGTGACCTGACAGACTCATTGGCACTTTCTCACAGAGTCCATCTAAGCTTAGCATCCTTTTCAATACAGCTCTGTAACCAGCCTCTATAAATTGATGGGAATTGGCATATGAAACAAATTTTATTTGCCATCTCTGTTTTAGAAGGCACAACTTCATGAAAGAGTTAAACATCCGTAGGGGCTTAGAAACTGAAACCTAGAATTCTGACATGATAGAGTGAAAATTCTATATGATGAACCAGCTTGCTTTTGTTGCCTCTATTCTGTCTGATCTCCAGAAGAACTGAAGGGATTCCAAAAAGCCAGAGAGGGAAAAATGCATTCATGTAAAAAGAGAATTCTCAATAGCAGCCCAGTACTGAAGGTTTTAGCACTCCATTGAATTTTACATTAGAATTCTATCCTAATAAAAGATTTGTAATCTTTTACCTAAATTGGTTGATTAAAGCCATTTTGACAACAATGACAAAGGGCAAAGAAATTATAGTTTTACAGTGTTGTAGACATCATGAAGCTAAGAATGATTGTAATATCACTGCATTTATTCTTGTTATCATTCCTATTTTAAAAGATGCAGGGTCCCATTCATGTAATTCACAAAAATAAAGAGTCTTACTCTCAGAGTGAAAATGTTGAGATAAGGAAATATTACTGTAGCTGTCCTGAGAAGGTTTCAGTAAGGTAATAGATGCATTTATAGAGTAACAAATTTTCTTATAAAAATGAAAATTCATTTAAGTCATACAAGAAAATAAATATGTCACACAGATTACGATTTCCAATTGTAATTGTGCACTCAAAAATTTAAAATCCAATAAGATAGTAACATCACCACTTCCATCTGGGCTGTCAGTCTTGATTTTGCATATTCTAAATCTTATTAGAATGACTGATGTCAATATGTACTGATTTAGATGCCTAGGCTTTCTCAACAGAAAAGAGGTAAACAAGACTAATGAACAATTACTGAGAATCTTTGGTCAACTAAGGAGAATAAAGTACATTTTTTAAATCAAAGTTTAAGGTAGCTGTTTGCAGAACCTTTTTTCATTGCATAGAATCATAATTTTTATTTGCAAATTTGTATTTCCTGATGACCTTTTTCCTATTTCTTCCTGATTTCCTCCTTCCTTTCCTCCCTGCCAACACAAAAGAAAGAAAGCTATTAACAGAATCTTTTTTCTCTTTCATATCAGATGCAACTCCAGTAGTACCTTCACGGGCAGCAACTCCAAGATCAATAAGAAATAAGTCTCATGAAGGAATTACAAATTCTGTAATGCCTGAATGTAAGAATCCTTTCAAGTTGATGATTGGATCGTCAAATGCCATGGGAAGGCTATATGTACAAGAACTGCCTGGAAGCCAGCAACAAGAACTCCACCCTGTCTACCCCCGGCAGAGATTGGGCAGCAGTGAACACGGACAGAAATCTCCATTCCGTGGCAGCCATGGAGGCCTGCCAAGCCCAGCATCATCAGGTTCCCAGATATATGGAGATGGTTCAATCTCTCCACGGACTGACCCACTTGGAAGCCCTGATGTTTTCACAAGAAATAATCCTGGTTTTCATGGAGCTCCCAATTCTAGTCCTATTCACCTGAATAGGACTCCTCTTTCTCCACCTTCAGTAATGCTACATGGTTCTCCTGTACAGTCATCCTGTGCAATGGCTGGAAGGACTAATATACCTCTTTCCCCAACTTTGACTACAAAGAGTCCAGTAATGAAAAAACCAATGTGTAATTTTTCAACTAATATGGAAATACCACGAGCAATGTTTCACCACAAACCACCCCAAGGCCCACCACCCCCTCCTCCACCTTCTTGTGCTCTTCAGAAAAAGCCATTAACATCTGAGAAAGATCCACTTGGCATTCTTGACCCTATTCCTAGTAAACCAGTGAATCAGAACCCTGTTATCATTAATCCAACCAGTTTCCATTCAAATGTCCACTCTCAGGTACCTGTGATGAATGTAAGCATGCCTCCTGCTGTTGTTCCTTTGCCAAGTAATCTCCCTTTGCCAACTGTAAAACCTGGCCATATGAATCATGGGAGTCATGTACAAAGAGTTCCACATTCAGCTTCAACCTCCTTGTCCCCTTCTCCAGTGACATCCCCAGTGCACATGATGGGGACTGGAATTGGAAGGATTGAGGCATCGCCCCAAAGATCACGCTCATCTTCCACATCATCAGATCATGGAAATTTCATGATGCCACCTGTAGGACCCCAGGCCACTTGTAGTGGTATTAAGGTTCCACCCAGGTCACCAAGGTCAACTATAGGGTCCCCAAGGCCATCAATGCCATCAAGCCCTTCTACCAAGTCCGATGGACATCATCAGTACAAGGATATCCCTAACCCATTAATTGCTGGAATGAGTAATGTACTAAATACCCCAAGCAGTGCAGCTTTTCCTACTGCATCTGCCGGAAGTGGTTCTGTAAAGAGTCAGCCTGGTTTGCTGGGAATGCCTTTAAATCAGATCTTGAACCAGCACAATGCTGCCTCCTTTCCAGCAAGTAGTTTACTCTCAGCAGCAGCCAAAGCACAGCTAGCAAATCAAAACAAACTTGCTGGTAACAACAGTAGCAGCAGTAGCAATTCTGGAGCTGTTGCCAGCAGTGGCAACACTGAAGGACATAGCACTTTAAACACCATGTTCCCTCCTACTGCCAACATGCTTCTCCCAACAGGTGAAGGGCAAAGTGGTCGCGCAGCACTAAGAGATAAGCTGATGTCTCAGCAAAAAGACTCATTACGGAAAAGAAAACAGCCACCTACCACAGTGTTGAGTTTGCTAAGACAGTCTCAAATGGATAGTTCTGCAGTTCCTAAACCTGGACCCGACTTGCTGAGGAAGCAGGGTCAGGGTTCATTTCCCATCAGTTCAATGTCTCAGTTACTACAGTCTATGAGTTGTCAAAGCTCTCACTTGAGTAGCAATAGTACCCCGGGTTGTGGGGGCTCAAATACTGCTTTGCCTTGCTCTGCTAACCAGCTGCATTTTACAGATCCCAATATGAACTCCAGTGTTCTTCAGAATTCACTGACACAGAACATACCTTTAAGAGGGGAAGCCGTGCACTGCCACAATGCAAACACTAACTTTGTTCACAGTAACAGTCCAGTCCCCAATCACCATCTTGCAGGTTTAATAAATCAGATTCAGGCTAGCGGGAACTGTGGGATGCTCAGTCAGTCGGGCATGGCTTTAGGAAATTCATTACATCCCAATCCACCTCAGTCAAGAATTTCAACGTCCTCCACTCCAGTGATACCAAACAGCATTGTTAGCAGCTATAATCAAACAAGTTCTGAAGCAGGTATGGTTTTATTAGAAAAAAGTACCCAAAGGTACTAAGTTTTTCTACGTTTTTTTTTAAATTTGTACCAAAATATTTATTATAAGAAATGATCCTTTCCCCATTGTGAAATTTTCTTCATTTCTTTAGTATTTATAATTTTATTTACAGAATGGTAGGGATTTGTCTATTGGAAAGAATAACAGCTAAGGGGATTCCATATGTTTCTGTTATTTGTTATCAATCTGTGTCATTTTGAATATTGTTCAACTTTTAGTTGGTTTTATAACCAATGGACTATAAATTGCAAAAAAAAAAAAAGCCATAGAAAGCAGGGTTTTCTGGTTATGAGACATGTCCTGATCTATGCCAATATAGAAGCCGTTTCCCCTTGCTTTTGTTTGTATTCAGGTAAATTAAGCTCATCTTGGAAAATCCAAAAAGGCAAAAATAAATGGATATTATTTTTCTTGCTGCTGAACAGAAATAGGTGAATGGATAGGAAAAAGTAACTAGAAGTTGTATGAAGTAGGAAGCTGTCTTCTAATGTGTTTTCTTATCCTAGTTTGCTATCCTTTATTATAATTTGTTTGAGAAAATTCAAAAATAAATATTGGCTATTTCTTTTTTTAAAAAAAAGTAATAATTTAAGTTTTCTAATAAAAAGGCTTGAAAACCTGATTTCCAGAATTTTTGATCTTGAAATTGCTTTAAATTTTCTTATAGAACTAAACCATTATTTTTACCATTGACACTAAGGTTTTGAACCCAAATTTAATGTAAATCTTCACCCACTATTAGTGAAGGAGACAAGTTTATGTAAAAGTAGACACATTAGAAAAAGAACTATGTTTTGTGCAATAGAGTCCTCAGAAATCATTATAAAAACTTTATGGAAGCACTAAAGAGATGAATTCGTTGAGACTTCAGAAAATTTGACCATGAAAACATTAGAAAAACTACTAAGAGCCCAACACTAATGATTTCAGATTTGTGGGAAATGACAGGGAGGCAATAAAAGATGACTGCAGAGTTATTATAATTCTTATTTGAGAACAGCAGCTTTAAAAACCAGATTGCTCCTGGAAATGAGAAAACTGCTAAGGCTTTTACTAATCAACTACCATTAGATTTTGTGGACTGTATCACACCACCATGCTGAAAATGGATACTCTACATGTCTATTGCTGTAGTAAAACCAAAAGTGTTTTCTTCCTGGTGTTGCAATCTTTCACAACCTGGTTATATGTTCTGTGTTGATGTCAGTATTTAATGAAGAACTGTCCAGTGACCTCTTGTGTTAAAAGAATACAAGGTTTAGAAGATATTCAAAATTATTAGTGCCTTCTTGATATTCTTAGTTTAAGGAATCTTATGAACCTTTATTTTTTATGTGTTTAACAGAATTGTTATCCCATAAGGGGCTTCCAGCTGTTCACTGACTCCTTTTTCATTAATTCTACACAAAAATTTAATCTTATACATGTAGAAGATTAAAGTTACATGATTTCTATAACTATTTAACAATGTACCATATTCAATGAGCACACATTCAATCACTTTGATGAGACATTGGTAGTCTCATTATATTATGTAGTTTTGAGAGTTTTGATACCCCTTACCTCAATTTACTTAATTTCAAGTCACAATTCATATGTGCAAAGTATATGTATTTTATTAGTGATATATTTCAACTCATCCATAATGGAAAAGACCAATGTTTGTTAACATTCTTGTTTCTTCCGATGCCAACTTTAGGCTTATTTTATATAAGATAAAATAAGGTCACTTATTTTTCTGTCCCATGTATCTATGTAAAACATCTGACTTCAATTGCTAGTCATGATGGTATCAAAGCACAAAGGTTAAAATGATATTAATATAAGAGAAGCTTTAGCATATATATAACTAAAAAAGAACTAGAATAAATGACTAGTAATGAAATGATGTGACCAATGATGCTCAAGCTAACCTGAAAACATATGTTTAATTAAAATCTAAGTTAGTAAGAATTTTTAAACTATTTAACCTAATAAAATTAAATACTAAGTAATGTACTTAGGTCTGCTGTGCAGCTGGTTATGAAAATAGGTTGACTTACTAATTAATGTAACTCCTTTGATGAGCTAAATATTGAAGAGATCTTTAGTGCATGTTTCTTTTTGCTATGAAGTAACTTGTGTCATTTGAATGTACTGTTCTTATAATCACCTGGCCTAAATATCTGTTCACACTGACATTTATTCATTCATCAAATAATCATTAAGCACCAAGGCTGGGCATCCAGAATGAGACAACAGGTGACAGTCACAGCTATCCCTGTAAGAGGTTTTCTAGGTATTCCTACTACAACAGTAATATATGAGAAGAAAAATGGCTGTCATTAAGTATCTACTATGTGCCAAGTGGTTTACCTGTGTTATTTATAATCTGTACAGTTTTCCAGAGTATAGAATTTTATTGTCCCTGTTTTCCAGAAAAGGAAACTGAGCCTTAGAAAATTTAACTATCCAGGGTCAAATGTAACTGAATCAGGACTTGAACTCAGGTTCATCTGATTCTAAAATCCATTTTCCCCAGCTGTATAAGTTCTTCATCTGTAATGTTTAGTGTACAAAAATAATTGTTTTCTACTTCCATTTCAAAATCTTTTAAAATGTTCAATAGAAGATGAATTGAAGCACATCAATACATGTTAGAAGCCACATTTATAAATTTATGATGTATTGTTAGACAATATCAATTTTTGAACTCTACTATCATAGCACAAAATTATTTAAATGTTTTTGTCAGTTACAGAAGAAATATCCAAAATATCATGAGAACTGCCCTTATTCATGGATCATAGTTGGGGACCTTTCTGTCAATGAGTTATCACCTCACTCAGATAAGAATGGGTTTCCTACTGGGTGGCCTATCACTAGACCTTCGAAAGAGGTGACTGTGCAGATACTAATCATTGTTGTTCCAAGACTGGTAGCACAGTAAGTGTGAAAGACCCACAGGTAACACGTCCAACTGCACCCTGTGCTAACAGCCTAGACACAGCTCAGGTGACCTGCTCCATTCAGTGCCTTTATTCACTATCCTAAGCAGCAATTCAGAAACATCACATTAAGACATTGAAACAAGAAATTACTTTCTCTGAAAATGCTTAATTTGATTGATAACTTATTTTCAAAACTTCTTTTTTAAATGATTTTTCTATTGTTAAAACTCCAAATATTGAGTCTTAGGTCTATATATGAATTCTGTATTATTTACATTTAAAACATACAATTCAAACAGAGGAATTAGGAGCAAAAATTGTGACAAAATCAGATAAAGATATGAAATATTTAGAAATCATTTCTAAAACTTAGGGGCTTTATTAATTCTATTTGGTGTTTTCAGAATGGCTTTTCACTAAAGCTGCTCAATACTCTGGATTGTAATGTGTATAGGTTCCTATTAGTTTTTTGAATATAAAATTGCAAGTCAAGCTTAATACTTTCATGTAACAGATGTAGAACTAACAGGAGGATATTTGGTGACATGCCCCAAATTCTAATGCTCTGGTGAATGTGGCAGCCAAACCCCAAAGTTCCTAAATCACAGTCCAAACAAACTGCTGAACACAGGCATATGCTCAAAATCCTTCAGCGGTAAACATTTCAAACAACTTTCAGTTTTTAAAGAGAGACAAATTTCAGTACTTCAGTAGTTCCAGCTCATGTCCTGTGGTGTTTTGATATATGGAGGGAACCAAAATCAAGTGCCCTTGACTGGCAGACTTCAAAAGGCCCATGCTTCCTGGGGCTTCTGGCTACAGCACACCTGCTAACCACATCACTAAAACACCTATTCGGGGAACCCTGGCCTCTGTAGGGGACTTGGCCCAGTCAGCATCCATACAGCAATGAGTCCCTCCCATGACCCTGTGATGTTTCACAATTTTCAAAGAAGAAAGATTTAGATTATTCTAGTAACATTCTTTCTTAATAACAATCTTCCTCCTTCCAATATAATAAAGTCATTAAATATAACCTTTTCATTTAAAATGCTTTTATATCCTATTTTCCTTAATGAAAACATTTAATCAACTCTTTTCAGCACATGAAAATATAATCATGAGGGGACAGAGTATGGATTTATGACAAATGAGGAAATAATTAAAACATTTGCCTTAACTCTTAAATATATACATTGACTAATAAGAATATAAATAAACCTATCAATGAGTATATTTGTGAGTATTTATATAAATATGTGTGTATATTTTTAAACTCTGCAAAAGCAAGTGTTTTCTTTCAGCACAAAATACATTTGAAACTCAGGACAGCCATTGAAATGGTAGGTATAAGACAATGAAATAGTTGAGACCACCAAAAAAAAAATGCTTTGGGTAAAAGACTACAAAGTAATGTGTTTAATTTTTCTGTTCTTGTGTTTATTTATTCTCAGAACATGCCAGTAGAGAAAATAAGGGAAGTTGTCATCACCTACCTACATTGTCTAGATGAGCCTACAAGTACAGAAATTTTAAGGGATGAAATGTCCAAGGGCAAATTATACTATATGTTAGCCTTCTCAAAGTATGGGAAGTTTGTGTGGAAATAATCATCTAGTCTCATACAGACTAATGTAGACTGAAGAAAGAGGCAGAGGCTCATAGAAGGTGGTTAACTAGATTAATAACAATAGTCACTATTGAAAGTATTTCCACCAAATTTTTGAATAACTAGATTTTATTCTTCTGAGGCACAAGGCTTATAGGTTAAAATTTGCTCTGTGCTCTTGTTACTTAACCAGACAACAAAACTGTATTAAATTCTGGGATGTGTGATAAAAACCTATGTCTATTCTTTTAGTTAAATTTTTGCAAAATGAGCCATTTCTTCTTTGCTGTAAGATATTTTTACTACAGGCAATGTCTTGCTGTTTAAGAAGGTTTCCTAATATCAGAGTTAAACCATTTGTTTTGTTTACATGTTCCAGGTTAAATGTTTCCTTGTGTACAAAGAAAAAGTTAAAATATGTTT